TTCCAGCTTCTACCCTACCCTAATACGAGTAGAAATGTCTATTCGCATTTTTTAAAAACTGACTGCTTGCTTGCCGCGTGCTATCTCACGTGACTTCTCCGCTCCTGACCAATAACTCGTAGAATTTCAATCAAACTTCACCTTACAGGTAAGTCTCGTTTAATTTTCTAATTAAACTTTAAATTTTTCTGCAAGGTTTCAGGGGCCGGTCGTACGAAGCCTGGATAGCGCTATCCGACGGATAAATCTTATCCAGTGGATAAATGTATTGAATAACAGCATCGACTTATCAGTCCACTAGATAAGGATTTATCCGCCGGATAGCGCTATCCAGGCTTTGTACAACCGGGCCCTTGTATGGTCCGTAAAATATGTTGACCTCTTGAAAACTTTAATCTTAAAAAATATGCACAAATTTATATAGTTTTTAGTAAAAAGAAGTCAGAACAAATTTTGATTTAGAAATGTCTGAGTCATTTTAAAAGACAGACAAAAGATTTTCTAAAATCTTAGAATTGCTAATTATGCAAATGATTAAATAGTCTTTGATACCGTGATCGATGATGAAACTACTACTCTCGATCGCTTTTCGCAGCAGCCGGAATAGAAAACGACGTGAATTCATCATATTATTCAGTTTTCCATCTAGATTTGAATTCAATAGATAGATATTTTTTAAAATAAAATAAAATGTTCCTACTACACTCTAATTTTTTAATATTTCATGAAAAAAAAACACGATGTTTTAAAGTAATTTTTATAGTTCATTCTTGCTATGTTATGATATTTCATAAGAAATCTGAAGAATTAAATACTCTTTAAAAAAAAWAGGAAAGGAATTCTTTGTTTGGAAAACAAGAACGAAAAATAAGAAAGAAAATGACATCCGAAAGAACTGGATGAGAAACCGGAAGTGAAAATGTTTCCAAGGGATTTTTCTTCCGGTTATGTACGACTAATAAGCTGGGTGTTTTCTTGAGTTGTATTGTCGATGCTTTCAAAATGGCGGCAAGTCCAGGTGGTAAGRACTACACAGTCATACAAATGACAGGCCAAACCACTAAAGATTCAAATAATCAAGGAAATGAGCAAAAGGAGTCTAAGACGAAGGCCCTGGAAAGACCTTTCGATGAAGATTTTTGGAATAAGGTAAAGACGTTGAACCTAGCACTGTATGTCACTGCGTGACACTCTCCTCCTAGTGGTCGTTATCAAAATRCCTTTTTTATGTGTTCTACTTTCAAAAATCCTTTTTTGTGAGTTGAATTCCCTTTAAATATGTCTTAACTCTTCAGTATATCTTGATTAAATGAAAGCTTTCGCTTTTCGAAAGTGCTATTCTCAGCCGAAGGGTCAAGTAAACCTGTAAGCCAAGTGGTGTAAGCTTGTTTTTATTCATTCAGAATGTTGTACAAAATCTGTTCTTGTTTAAAATTGAAATTATTCTTTTTAACCAAGATAAAAAGATACTATAATTATAAACTGAGTTTCTAGATCGAGAATGCTTTTAGTATGATAATTTATCAAGAAATTGGYCGTACCGCTAGATTCACAAATTGATAGGATTGGAGGAATTCCTGGAATTCCACGTCTGTCACGCAATCCAGCAATGTCACGCTATCAATAATGTGCTAATTGTCCCTATTCTCTCAAACCTTTTTTGTTTAATCCATCTCCCACTCCACCTCGAAAAACAAACACGTGCTTATATACAAACCTTCACTCCATAGTGTGGCCTGTGAATTAACCAATAAGCTTATATATGTAAGGGTGGCATGGGTGGCGTAGTGGTTTACGCTCACCTCTCACCACTGTGGTCCGGGTTCGAGCTCTGGCTCAGACTGGATCATATGTGAGTTGAGTTTGTTTGATGTGTTGTTCTTTCCCTTGCCACGAGGGTTTTCTCTGGGATCTCTGGTTTCTTCCCTCCGTAAAAAGCAACATGTGAGTTGAGTGTTGTATGTTGTAAATATAGAATGTAGTGGTAGTGCGTGTGTATATATATATATATAAGTTGTATTCTATTTTCATCCATCTCACTGTGCTCATATTTGAGCAATGGGAACAGACCTGGCAGAGCTCTCCAAACAACCACAACAGCACAAGGAAGGGAAGGGAAGGTTGGGAAATTAGAAAATGGACTAGGATTGGAACCGCAGGTCGGTAGGTGTACAGCAAGACCTCTAAAAGAATAGAAGTGTGCTAGATACCTTTTGGCCTGAGTGACTGCTAATTATATCTCATATATCCAAACAGTGAGACTGCTGAAAATAGTAATTTCTTCTTTCTTAGCTTATTCTTTCTTAGGAAATAAAGGGATGTGTAGTGGTAGTGCACTCTCCTCATGGCATGCCTCTGGGTTCTTGGGTTCAATTCCTGCACTCGGCATAATGAGAGTAGAGTTTGTTTGGGTTTTTCTCCTTCCTCAAAATCTATCATGCTAATAGGTTTTAATTTGATCTGAGAGTTATCTGTGTCATGACTTTGATCAGCTGAGAGGTTGTTTCAGAGTACAATAAAATTTGAAGGATTTCTATAGTATTGTATAGTTATTATATTATTAATTTATTTCTCCTGTATGATGATATAATTTCTTATTACCAAAATTCTTATGGATTTCGAAAGACCTTATGGTGTTTGTTTTCCATATACGGTGTTGGATCTAGGATTTAAATAAGGGGGGTTCCAACATTATGACTGCCACACAGTAAAAGCTGGTAGTAGTGAAATTGGCTTCACAAAGGGAGTTCTAGTTTTATTTTGGTAAGTGCAAACTGGAGTTCCAGTTTCATTCTACATGGTCCACTTCACTAGATCTCACAAAATAATGAAGAAGGGTTCCATGGAACCACCCTGCATCTGATACTGTTTTAGTTTTTAATTTTTAAAAATATGTAATAAAAGGGTAGTATTTTCAAAACATTAGTCAAAATTTTCATCACCAATTCTAAAAAGGTCCAAGCAAAATTTAAAGAAAATGTTCCATGGAACACTGCAATGGATGAAGTTCGCACTGAACGTTTGGTTGAAGAACATCAAGAATCCACACTGAAAATACTCATTCGTGATTGGCCAAGAAGCAAGGGATATGCTGGTAAACCAGAACTGATTTCAAGTTTAGAACATCAGGTAAATACTGCTAAAGTTAATTCATGAGCAGCATATGCATAAACCTATTTTCCAAAAATGTTGTTACAAATGTTGCAGGTTTTTTTGTTTGTTTGTTTGTTTTTGTTTTTTTTTGTATAATAATTTTATTTAGTTCTACTGGAAGAAGTCAAAATTAATATCTTTGACCTTAAAGAGGGCTTTGAAAAACAATTTTCATAAATAATAATTATATTTATTTGGTGTTAAAAACTGTTGTTTTTAAAAAATAAAAAAATAAAAAAATAGGGATTCGTGTTGGGATCCCTGTGTTCTCAAGGTCGTATACTCTCTGCACAGAGATGTTCAAAAACAAAAAAATATGGTTGCTAAGTTCTGACTTCTAACTTTTTAAATTCCCTATACAGATAAACCGTTTTGTGGAAATTATTCTTGATCGAGACAAAGTGCGCAAACCGAAGCCACRTTATAAATTTTACAGAGTGGATGAGGATGAAGATCCTTATCGCCCAACAATTTTACACCTTGCTGCTGAAAAAGGCTTTGAAAAAATATCAAAAACCATCGTGGAACACTACCCTGGGCTTTTATATCTAAATACTGAAGAGCATGATGGAAAGAGGGAACTCCTACCAGTCGAGGTGGCGCTGTTAGGATTTAAAGATGAAACTGCAGCCTTTCTTATTGGACAAATGAAAAATGAATGGTACTAGTTATTTTTCTCTTTCTTTTTTCTTCCTATCTTTCTTTCTTCCATTCTTCTTTTCTTTCTTTTTTTCCTTCTGTTTCAATTTTATTTAACAATCTAACAATTCAACTGAATAAAAACATTTTTTGATTACAGGATTCATGACCTATTCCTCTGTAAAAATGGGGAAAATAAAGCTGACTTCGAATTCGGTGAATATATTCAACATCCAAATATGAAGGTATTAGAATTTAAATTTATTTTCTAAAAACAATTCTATAAATTTGCAAAAAAATATTTTAAATCTCACATCACAGGAAGCCCAGGAACAAACTTTTCATCAATATAAAATATGTTTAATTAGGTGATTAAGAAATGCTTATTATGTATTTCTAAAGGTTTCACAAACCGAAAAAGGTTTGTATTTTAATTCAAAAATTAATTTCTCTTAATATTTATTCCGAAGAAAGTTTGATTATTGGGCTTCCTGTGGAATGCCAATTTGCCGTTATACTGCTAAGTCCAGAGGGGCTAAGTCTGTAAAAAAAATATTTTCTCTCGTCAGAAAACAGTCGTTGCTGTACTGGATCGCCTCATTAGCCCACATTGGCCGTATCTTCCAGTAGCAAAGAAAGGGAGCTCTAAAAAGGAGGAAAGAGGCATCGAATTAGCATGGAGTAGTGTCCCAGACGATCCCATGAACTACCATTTCTTTTATCATTTGCTTGACGCTGATGAGAGTGGACAACTACCAAACACGGGGGAACTAAGGAATCCTAACTTCTCTCTACATGGAAAGTCTAATCTGTATTATATCGCTAACAGCAAAAACAAGGTAATATTTATTTCTGAAATATGTGCATAATTTATGCAAAAGCTAAAAAAATATTAGGAGTGTGACCTTTAAGAAATAAATAATATTACATGTGATTATGAAATATTAAAAAAATTTAAAAGGAAAAGAGAAAAAAAAAAGAAAATAGTTATCGAGAAAATAGCAAAAATAATAAGCCCTTGCAGAGACTCGAACTCTGGACCCCTGGTTTACTAGACCAGTGCTCTAACCACTGAGCTACAAGGGCAGCGGTGATTAAAATAGTAACCCCTTTCCATTTTATACGAGTTGGTTTGATTTGTTTCATTGAAATCTCTACCAAATTTTGACTTCTCAACTTTTTAGGTCGTTTTACTTAACTTAAAAATCAAATTAGTATAAAATTGTCAACGAAATAATTTCTTTCTAATTTTCCTTTATTTCTTGAAAATAAAAACGGTGTATATTATTTTTTCGCGATCTTTTCTTTTTTAATATTTTCATAAAGCCAAGATATCAAAAGTGAATAAAGTTTTTAAGAACTTCAAACTTTTTTTCGTTTAAAAAAAAGCGAACTACACTTTTTTTTTAAAAATGAAAGCAAAAGTTGTAGGATCTCGTAGCTTGGCTACGGGGTTGTATCGGCCTGGAATCCTTGGATCGACCTTTTCGGGATTATCCTAGTGAAGCGGGATGATTATCCCCGGGATTTTTTGTTTTGATGRAAAAAARAAAAAAAAATCTAGTTAAAATCTTATTGGCGATTCCAGGTGGAGCTTTCACCCCTTTCCAATCAAGAAAACAGCAACGAAACGGGAGCGGTTCGCTTTCTGTAATTGTTTTGAGTATGATATAATATTTGTTTGTCTTTTCTTTTCGTATAGGAAGCTATCCAACACCCTGTTGTTAGGATGCTTGTCATGAGAAAGTGGCGAAAATTTGCTCGTTGGTGGTTTAGGTATGGTCAGTTGAATTTAGAAAGGTTTAGGGCTATTTGTTTCTTTTCACCGCATCTGCATGGTACGAAAAGGGAAAATAAAAAATATATACATAATTTTTTTTCTCTTTCATAGTTTGATGTTTCGTGTCACAAAGAAGGAAACTTGATCGATTTAAAAAAAAAGTGATTTTCTAAAATAAAGTGAAAAATGTTCTTAGTCATTTAATGTATCTCACATGACCAACATATCCTCCACCAGTCATGAAGAAAAAGTACTAATATATTATTATTATCGTACACTTGTAGCATTCAAGCCCTGTTCTACTTGTTTTTCCTGACTGTGATGTCCTACGCCTTAATCTTTGGTTCTACCCGTTCTAATCCCTCCAAGTACAACGGCTCGGCTGACGGACTGAGGGCATTTTGCGAAATCATGACCATTCTTTTGCTAATGTTTTACGTCATAGAGGAATGTTTTCAAGCAAATAAGTAAGTAAATATTCTAGTTTCCCTATATCCTAAGTTTGTATTTTTTCATCTTGTCAACTTTGGGTTTTGTATGCTCCACGCAGAAGCCTATTGTGGTTGCAATGCGCTGCACCGTGGAGTACTAGTATTAGTTCTCTTAAAACTGTATTTCAATTAAAACTCATCAACTAATAAGTTTGGGCTAGGTACCAGTGCGGGGTCCGGTTACGCGAGTATATCCCCCAGCAAGGAGGTAACCATGGCAACCGGGCCACAACCCAACTTCCGACCTCGACCAAGGGTGCTTGGTAGAGAACATATGACCGGTTACCATGGGACCTTCCTACCAAACGAAGTCCAAGCACCCAGGACCAAGTAATAAAACAAAAGCAACAGAGGGGCACAAACGCTAATCTCTAGTCGAGCAATGAGCCTTTAATGTGTAGTTAACACGATTTGCCGAAGCCAGAGAGGCTACCAGGGTTCTAATATAAACCCTAAAGGCATCGCTTGACCAACGGCCTAGTGTTTGAATTAGGTGGTCTGGGACGCCGTTGTGGGGGNGAAATGCAAATTGTACGATGGCAAGGATGCAAAGATGGCATACAAGCTACAAGCCAGCTAGTGAACACGCCACCCGGAGCGTGGGCGCATGCGTAGCATGGATGCTCCGCTGGCCAACGTTGCTTAGGCTAGCAGGCTTAGTTGTGGTTTTAACTTTGCCTAAATTACATTTAGCCCCATGTAATTTTCTAGATATCTTTCAATCACGTTTAAAAAGGAGCTGAAATCTGTACCGTACCGTACGTATCGTATATAAACGAAACCGTCTAAGCGTTGTCATCTATAGCTAAAATCTAGTGTGAGCTGCGTCGGTGGCTCTACTCGGTTCTTGCAGTAATGATAAAAAGGTAAATAATACACAGTGAAAAGATGAAAAAACTTACTGACGTTTCGGACGCTAGTCCTTCGTCGGAGTAAATGTAAATCTTTTACTCCGACCATAGTTAATAGTGTTCTCCATTAACTATGCTCCGACGAAGGACTAGCGTCCGAAACGTCAGTAAGTTTTTTCATCTTTTCGCGGTGTATAATTTACATTTTTACAAGAGAATATAAGGTAAGAGAGTATATCCCTGTGACACATGAAAGTTTCTTGAAAATCTATTTTTAGCTCCGCGCGCTAGTCTGAGCTATTTTAGCATGCGAATCTTGATTGGTCAGAGTTGTAGTAATGTCATGGGTACACAAGAGATCGGCAGTGACAAAGCAAGCTTCACGCAGTTGACAAACCAAACCAAACTTTATTCAATTTGACGAGAAAATGTGTTTAGAGGAATTCCTTGAGAAATTCTGAGAGGTATTTGAAGGAATCCATTATAACAGTATGTAAAAAGTTATGTAAAAAATACTCAGCTGAGACAACATCATTCAAGCTTGTTTTTAAATCAAAACAATGGTCGCTCGATTGAGACTCAATCATTTTGGAGTTGATTGCAGTTATAGATGAGACTGTAAGTTATTCTACAATTCTCCGACTAAACAGAAATACAGTTAATATTGCTGCATCCCAAGAACACGTACTTCTGACCTGAACTTCAGTGTTTTCAAAATGACAAGTTATCTAATGGACATCTAAAATGAAGGTAGATTGGACTCGTTTACGAAAGAGCCGGATTTTCGATGAAAAAACTTGTTGAATTCAATGAGTCAAGAGTTTAAAAAACTTTAAACTTGAGAGAAAATTTAGCATTAACTGTTGGAATCAGTTGTTTACCAGTAAAAAGAAGAGGTTTTAAGATAGCTGAAAACAGTCAAGCTGCTCGGAATAGAAGAATTAAACATAAAGGCACAAATACGCCGAACTGAGAGCATCTGGCAGAAACAATCGCAAGTAAAACGCCCTTCAATCAGGTAAAAATAATCTCTTTTTTATTAGTTTGAATCCTCATATACTAAGTTTGATTCACTTTTGTACTTCGCCGATATTGTGATTGTATTCCTATTGTCTGTTTGGGACTTTAGAAGTTGAAAAGTTATGAAAAAAATACCTGRACATTGAGGCGGAGCGAAAATTCGAGATACAAAATTTGAAAGAAAGTTCTAGTTTTAATAGTCAAACTTTTTCATTAATTCGCCTTTTCCCAATGGGCAAAGTTATGGCGTTCCAATCCCGCCAAAATTCAATGTTGACATGAAACATTCAACTTCATGCATCAACATTCAAGTGTATATAATACAACTTCGAAGTTCAGTTTTCAACCTTAAAAAACTTGGGATTGAATATTCAATGCCATACCTCAACATTGGAGTTTACATGCTCCAACATCGAACTTCACAAACAGGAACTTTCAACTTCATTAAACTTGAGATCGAACAGGCTTAAACATCCAACTTCATTTAACAACTTGGAATTTGTAAACTCTAACTAACAACTTTCAGGCTCAAACGTTTGAACCCAAATTTTTGAATTCATTTAATTCGATAGTGTTGATTGTACGTTTTGGATGGACGTTATATAGTGCATGTTGCAATCGGATCAGTTGGAAGTTGAGTACTCAAACACGTACCAACTCCGCCAAAAAGTATCAAATGTCAATGTGACGTCATTGACGAAGGCTTGTGGGAACATCGTAATACGAGCGCACACTTCACTGAGGATTGAAACACGGTACCTTCCTTCGCTCAGAATATTATCGGGTACATCAAGTGAGACTAGCATTCTATCGCATTCTATTAATGTAGTCGACTCTTAATCTCAATAAATCAATATCCACTACATCCTGGAGCTCATTGATAGCATCAATTACACTTCGCAGCGAAAGCTGCGCCATTTTGAATTATAAATTCGAATAAAATTTACACAACTACTACCCCCATGGAATAATTTTAACTGTACAGCCGGGTTACCTGTGGATTGTTACGTCATACTGACACTCGACACTTTTTGGCGGTCGTGGTACGCACAATGATACTCAGCTTTCAACATGACTGAATTTGATTTGAAACAGTGATGTTGAAGGACGAGGCTTTGAAAGTTGTTTGGAAAACTTGAATGTTGATGCATGAAGTTGAGTATTGGAGGACTGCGAAGTTTTAAAAGTTACAGGCAAAACTTGAATGTTGATGCATGAAGTTGAATGTCAAAAATCCCTACAAAAATCTATTTTTTCACGTGTTCCTGATTTAAACTTTTCCTAAAATGTTGATATAACCTAGATTTTAAGGAGTTTTTTCAAATGAGCTATCAAAAAATATAGAGTCCCGTGCAAAATTTGAGGGTTTTGCCCTGTTGAAGCTCAAAACGCGTATGGTTCTTCAATAAAATCTTGTAGATTTTTCAGCGGTTTTTGAACGCGCGCTCATCGTGGGCTCAATTCGAACGTTAAAAAGTAGGCAGCCACCTTAAAAATAGCTCAGGCTTGCGCGCGCAGCTAAAAATAGATTTTCAAGAAACTTTCATGGTTACAGACCCATGTATGGGAGATGTGCTCTCTTACTTAATATTCTCTTGCTTTTTATCATTACTGCAAGAACAGTAGAGCAGCGTAATTACCACAACAGTACAGCTACGTACAGCTGGCTACGAATTTCCCGTATCTTTTTTTCCTCATATACGAAAACTGCTCCATGTTAATCTAGTTTTTGTATCTCTATAACAGCGAAGGACTAAGCCGGTACTGGAAAGACCCTTACAACTACTTTGACTGGCTTGGTCTTGTGCTAACCTTCCTTGTCATCCCTTTACGTTTTGTTAACTCCGACATCCAGTGGACGTTAGGCGCCCTTGGATTTCTTTTCAACTTTCTGAGAGTTTTCAAGTTTTCTTGCGTCACAAGGTAAGATATTGCTGCTTCCCGAGGTTATGTATGGATTGTGCAGCTATTTTTTAAAAAAGGTCAAAAAAGGATAGTGAAGATTTTGCATGTTGCATAACAAGCCTGAAATGTATTATATTCATATGTAAATACGGTCAGCAAAAAAGAAAATATGCCGGAAAAACATGCAGAGAATTTTGGGAAAATTCCATTTTGTTGTGACCTTTCGCTGATTGCATTCACATCACCCATGGTGCATTTCAGGCTTGGCATTTAGCATGCAACAAAACGTCCACCAACTTTTTTTGAAATAGCTGTATACATCTAGTTCTGCAAAAATCGCCGTTGCTAACAACTTGTTGTGATATGTGTTACAGGACTACTGGTCCTTCTTAATACCAAGACTCTTGATTTTGTGTGTACCGTGACATAACAAGGTTCAATTAACCTCCATTAACCTCCTCATCGTTTACCTCACCCTTCCCATCCCCAGTATTCGACCTTGCTCAAGGGGTAGCTAAAAACTTTGTGTTTTATATGATACAGAACCACTGGTCTTTACACCAAGACTCTTGTTCTTGTGTACCTTGACATGAACAAGGTTCAATTCACCTCCTCATCGTTTACCTCGCCCTTCCCATCCCCAGTATTCGACCTTGCTCAAGGGGTAGCTAGCAACTTTGTGTTTCATGTGATATAGGACCACTGGTCTTTACACCAAGACTCTTGCTAAGATCGTTTACCGTGACATGACAAGATTCATGATAGTGTTTGTGGTGATATTCCTGGCGTTCTGTGGTTCACTGTACATCTCGTTAAGAGCTATGAACTCTCAGTCACTGCTTAGGTAAGGTTTTGTCCGCATATGGAGGATCAGTTTATTTTTATGTTCTGTTAAGCCTGGTTGACACTAGCGTCGGAATCGGAATCGGAAGCAGCATACGCAGACTCAGTAGCGTACTGCTTATTGACAATGCTTGTCTTTTTTCCCCACCTAGGTGATATCCCCTCCCCCCCTCCCGTCCGAAGTCCACGCTACAGGCCTGCTATTTCCCCCAGATCAGTTACCCTGCGTTACTTCGAGATCAGAAATTTAATGCATTGGTCGACTTGAAAACCAAACTTCTAACTTACTTTATAAAATAACTAAGATATAACGCGCGCTCCGATTGGTCAATTACCGTTTTATATAACTCAACACCTGGCTCAACATAGATCGTGAGAAAATGACGTCAGCAACGCAAGCGATGTTTTGCTTTTTTCTTATGTTTTTTATTATTTCTTTTGAGTTAATCGTTAGTTATATCTTAGATATTTTATACGGCTCTTGCTTTTCCTAGCACTTCTCTCTGACTCACGCAATTTCCCGCGTGCTTGTATAACTCAACATAGTACAAGCAAGGGGAGTTTTCTATCTCTTCAGAGTCAAACGAAGCAAGCTGCACTCGGGAAAAAAACTAGTGCTTTATTGATATAAGCTTCATGTGTTTTCTTTTTCTGTCACTATTTGTAGTGGTTTTGATCAAGTATTGCTTGCTGGGATGCGAGCGTTGGTCGAGCAAAACCCGGTCGATGATGACTACTCGAAGTTTAAGTAAGTCCTCAATATAGCATTACACTTTTTTTGTTTTTTCTTTTCTTTATCTTTCTATTTCCTATGCTATATTTATTTTGACATAATTTTCAGATGGTTATCTGTCATACTTATTCTGGCCTACATGGCGATGGTGATCGTGATCCTGCTAAACATCTTGATTGCGCAGCTCAGCTACACCTACGCCGAGGCAAAGAAAATGGCGAAGCTTCAGTACGACATTGATCGCGTGCTTATCGTCACTCGCCTCGAGCACAGTAGATTCTCAAGATTCGTAAGTAAAACCAGCCTTTTATGATTGCATTATGTATAAATGCACTTTACCGATCGGGTATCGATCAGTACACTTCTCCGAATGGCTATCGATCAGTGCACTTCACCGATCGGGTATCGAACAATATACTAGTTTCTCCTATTGAGTTAGAATTGGTATTGCGAGTGAAATCTGTATTTAAAAAGCTGTTTTGCACACACTTACAGCTCATGTTTTTACGCTACCTTCCTAGACATTTTTATTTTTATAAAATATTTAAAATGTCTAGAACGTTTTACAACGTACACATCAGTTTCTCTGCAACCTCCGGGCTGGTCAGACCTCGCGCTCTCTATCCTTATATCTGCTTCCCAGAGCCTGTGTTTCTCGTAGTCAGCGGTCAGCAGCTTGAAACCACTAGTGCTAACCACAAGGAAGCAAGGGTTTGAAAACGAGATCCACTCGATCCTAGACCCCTGCCATACTTACTGCGCATGCTCGAGACTATGAAGTCGTGCACGCGCAGTAAGAAAAATTATAGGGCTGATTAATTTAACTATTTTATTCACAGAATCTTCGCGTCAAACACTACAGTCTTGGTGATTGGATCGGCGAAGTTAAATTAGCCAAAGGTACGACGAAAATGCAACAGAATTCTACAGTTTGTTACCAATAATCCCTTTCACAGTTCCCTGCGCCATCTTCAAAGGTAGCCGTTCCTTTGTGTCGAGACGAACGGTGACTCATGCAATAATATCGATAGAGACCTTTTTTATTCACATGTCTCTATCATTTCAAGCTCACTGTTCGTCTCGCTTCGATGAAAAGGCACGGCTTCCTTTCAAGATGGCGTAAGGAACTGTGAAGGGACTATTCTTGTGCACGAAAATAATGAGTTAACGGCAGCCAAGTTACAGAGCAGGACTAAAGCAATATTTTTATGTCAGGGAATTTGGTTCCCCAAAGGAAAAAAAAATTTTTTTTAAAAGTTGTTTTCTCCTGCAGCATGGCTGTCGTAAAATGCTTCTGTACCAAGGAGGTAGAGTTCAAGTGACAGATGTTGTCACTGCTTTAGCCAATCAGAATTGTTTGTCACGCCTGCTTCGTCACGTTAATTAACGGAAACAGCAGGTCACGAATGATTCTAGCTTTCACAGTAAAAGATCTGCTTGTGACCTGTACGTCTGACCTGTATGAAGAACCGTAGTTTTTATTCGCTATTTCTAACTAGAACTTCTGGAGTACAGCGAAGACAGTTATCCTTGGGAAAGCATCGAAGAGAAGCTTAACCAGATAAGGTGAGACAACAACGCAAGAATGGGGTTTGTAGGGTGGTGTAGCAGTAGCGCACTCGCCTCTCACCTCTGGGGCCTTCGATTCCTGGACTCGGCATTGCATTTGAGAAAGCTTGTTGTGTTTGTCTATACCTTACTTGATTCCAGTCTGAGAGTATGTGGACCGCGTGGCACTAATGAAATAGTAGAAGATAATATAGGTAAGTTGTAGTGCTTGGGAACGAGGTTATTCCGGGCGAAAGCCCTTGGAATTAAATTCGGAAAAATTTCACCCCGGCCTGCTCTCAGTCTGACCTCTAGCTCAGCTGGAAGAGCATCGGTAGTACAATTCCGAAGGTCGTGGGTTCGAATCCCAGCGAGGTCGGAAATTAATTTTTCCGAATTTAATTCCAAGGGCTTTCGCCCGGAATAACCTCGTTCCCAAGCACTACAACTTACCTATATTATCTTCTTGATTCCAGTCTGTCTTTTTTCTCTTTTGTATTTTGTGCAGTTTGTATATTTTCATAAAAAATTACACCAACCGAGTGTTACGAAGGTTCTATCTCTAAAAATAGACCCGTTGCAGCACTTTGGAATGCAGTTCAATCTGGGGGACAAAACAATAGGTTCCAATTCTCAGGAGATTGGAATTCTTTTGTTTTGTCCCCGAGATCGAACTGCTTTAACTTCGCCTGCAAAGGGTCTATAAGATAAGTAAGTCACGTGGTCATTTGCCTGTCATGTCACGTAACATGAAGTAAGCTACATAAAGTCACGTGACCATTCTTCCGCCATCGTCATATTTACCACTTCCGGATTTGCTGTATTTGAGCACAGGTTCTAATCGTTTCTATGGTATATATGTTTAGAGAAATGATGCGAAAAGTTATCAAGCGCCTTCCAGTTCCTGACAGCGAAGATTAAACTGGGACAACAAATCAGTTCCGTCCGCCCGTCCGTCCGTCGGTCCGTCCATCCGATCGTCCGGCCGCCAGGACTGAAGGCAGGCAAATCAGTGTTAGTATTCTTTGTGGGACATATCTTATAGGTATTTCGTATTTTTTAATTACAGGTAGTTAGCTTTTGGCATTTTTATGGTTAAGACTTAAAAATGCATTAATACCTATATTTCTAGATGAAAGCGTCTTTGACGCCTATAAAAATTAGCGTAACCTTTAATTAATATTTGTAATTTTTACTGTTTTATTAGTTTATTAGAATAAATAGTTAATGCAGCATGTATAATCTTAAAAGGAAGAACTCACGGTTGAAGTTTAAGGGTCCATTTACCTCGTGAAACAAATCTTAGTTTAGAAAATAATCGGATACTAATTCTATTTTTTTTTTTTTTTTTTTTACTTTTTCATCTTTTATTCGAAAAACATTGATATTTTTTTATAAGCAATAGCATGCAGATAAGATCATAAAAAGTGTATATGTAAATGAAAAATCTAGTGATATTAATAATCATTAGCATATACCAACTTGTGTACTTCCTAAGAACGCGCGCGCTCATTGGTTAATTGGAGGTGAATATTGTACGATATTCACCTCTGAAACTCGGAATATTGAGTCGGCAACAAAATGGCATCTGCCGGAAATCCTTTTGCTACAATTTCCGATGAGGAAATTTAAAAAATGAAAGTAAATACCATTCCTATCAATACTAAAAATGCAATGAAGTATGGCCTAAAAGTTTTGCTAAACTTTTGCTAAAAGTTTTGCGCGAATCAAGGGAGCACGTTAAAATTTTGATTGTGTTGGTTTATCTTCGATTTTATCGCACGTATTGTAAGATATAGCAAGCGTTCCTTGTAGTTCTTGTTTACGCGCGCGCGCTACACTTCATGGCAGGCGTTCCTTGCTTTAGTCGGGCTAGCSAATTTACTCCGAAAACCGACGAATATTTTGCGAGGAGCGGAGCGACGTGTAAAAAAGGAGGGGAGTGAAACTGTAAACCACGTGACCCTTTTCAGCCAATCAAACAATCCAAAATCAAAATATTTTTCGCTCTATGCTGGTAGCAGCATCTATAGCTATAGAAACGGATTACGTGACAAATTCAAAAAAAATGACGTGACATGTCAAACAGATGAAAACAAACAAAATGGCGTCCTTGAGCGAAGAGCAAAACAAAGCTTTTAATATCGTAGAAAAAGGTTTTAGTGTGTTTATTAGTGGAATAGCTGGAAGCGGAAAATCATTTTTAATTATATATATATAAAAGGAGTTGAGAAAGGGAGCAAGCGGTGTTTTTATCACCTCATCAACGGACATTGCGGCTCAAAATATATGAGGATCGACAATACATTATTTCGCCGGCGTGATAGGAAAAAAATCGGCTCACGAACTGGTGAACATAATAAAGAATAATCCTACTGCTGAAAAGTTTGCCTGATCACATGGCTTTAGCCCTTTTTCGTTACACTCGGTCTTGTAAACTTAATATGCCTCCGTAGTTTTGATCGACTTCCCCATTAGATACGGAAAATAAACTAGTGATTATTCTGTAAAAAAATTCAAAATTCAAATTAACGATTTCAAAAACATTCAAACGAGTGACTCGACAGTTCATCTTGAACATAAACTCATACGCTCATGTTACGTAAATTCATAAATTCAGCTGACTTCTAGTTTCGAAAAAGTACTTACGTTCTAACTTGATCGTGTAATCCAGCCATCAATGTGCATAGCAACCGCCTGTGTGCATAGCAATCTGCTACAAGCATAGGACGATAAAATTTCCACTGTTTCACTCCCCTCCTATTACACTCGTCATTCCCTTCCTTACACGATCGTAAGCCATTCGGATCGGCCGAAACCAAAACACTACGAGGAACGCCTGTCACAAGATGGATTGCACGCGCTGGATAGATCAACCAAGAACAATGACTTTCCTTACACAAACAAAATTTTAATGTGCTCCCTTGCGCGAATTTGTCACGCAAACTAAAAGTTTCTTTTTGTTTGTTTTTATTGAATTATTGTATATAAAAATAAGTTACTCTGTACACAAGTTGGTATATGCTAAAACAATTATTCGCCTCAGGCTCAGTGAATGTGGAGAATTCCCCGATATTCACTTCGCCTTCGGCGAATAATAGCTAATTATATTGTTTCACGGAGCCTTCGTTCTACTTGGTCAGCAGTCAGTAGACCAAATTTTCAGTTAATGCACACTACGCCCAAGGTTAGTTTTATTTTAGCGTCACAGTTGAAGGGTTGCCGTCAATAAAATGATTGGTATTTATACCCATCATGCATCAGCAATCATGGTCACCTCTTCGTAAGCTCACGCGGTGCCTCGTGCCTGAACTGAAAAATCCTGAAGAAATCCATTTGTTGAAGCAAGCTGTGTAGCTGGAAGGCAAGAACAACAGGTTAAAGATAGTACGTGGTTGTAGAAATTCAAAACTGTGAGTTGACAAAACACAAGTAATTGAGGAGCTGCAAGAATTCCCGCGAGAATCAAAGGACAAAAACATGGCGGCCATCTTGGTGCAATTAACGAAGAATACTAATGGGAAACCTTTAGTTGAATAGAACCAACATGGCCGCGATGACGTATAACGTGCAGTCCAAGAATACAAGACAGTGGGACAGTGGGGACAGGAATTTTTTTGTTATCCTGAAAAATAATTCCTTGTCAATTTTTCAGTGTCATGACAAAACTAACGGATAAAATGGAAATCGTTTGTTCATTGACCAGCCTCGTGTTGTACTCACGTGTTATTCTCGTCACGTACAGTAGCTTTATCAATGTATATGTCTTGGCTACCAGAATACGTCAACACGATGGCTTTCAGCGATTTCGGGTGATGATCACTCGGCACTAGACGACTGATTTGACTGGCATCTTCTATCTCACTATTCCAAACAATAATAATAATAATAATAAAGAGGATGAGGATAATAATAATGATGATGATAATATAATGGTTATCACTTGTATTGCGAAAATTCCAGGCAATAATATGCTCAAATAAGCAAAAGTAATAACCTCAGAGGTGTTTGAATCGTCTTGCCATCATGGCTGATTAGCGAGATCCCAATTTTCTTGCTCTTCACCGCGTTGACTAATGAGTCGAAAAACCAAAATCCCAGCTTTTCAATTCTTAAACCACTTAGAACCACAGACACATAATGTCGAGGAGCTGAAAGATTTGAAACGAACAAACAAACAAACTGAAACAATTTTTTTAGAAGGTAAAACATGTCTTGTCATAAAATTTGATATGATGACGGATGAGTTGCATGGCACCGCCATTAACTTGGCCTTCCATACCAATGAAGGTCTAATCATCTGATCTGGGATGTAATTACAAAAGCAGAATCTTCCTTTTAGTTTTTGACGACTCTCATGAGGGACTGGACGCTAATTGCAAACCCGTGTACAGGCTTGATTAGGCCCACAATACTTTGCGGCGATCTTCACAATCGAGGCTACTGACGGCTGTCGTACGCTCACTAATGTAGTTAATAGCATCAAGACTTACCGCAATAGCCTTTTTTATCATAGATTGATAAATAAAACTTGTGTGAGCCATTAACATGGTACTGGTCAGCGTTGTATCCCATCTCCGGGCATGCGCCTTCACATTCAAAGCATCTACCTTGCTTGAACGCCTCCCAACTTTCACAAGGAAACGCTTTTCTTGAGCATCGGTGATTGATAGACGAGGTAAAATAGCTAATGACCTTCATGTGGTCGCAAGCGAACACCCAAGGCATTGCCGAAGGTCCTTCTTTGAATTTCTGAAGTTGCTTAAAGGCGTCTGTTTGTTTAAAAATGGTTTCGTAAATCAGCCTTACGAAATTTTAAGGAAAAAAAAAGCTAGGTTAACAGAAATATAGATTTACCTGCTAACTGCTTAATACTAGGACATCCTGGTTGAGAGGTGCCACCATTTGGATAGTAATCCACGTGACCGGATATGCGTCCTAGTCCCAGGCCTCCCTTCAGATAGTAGCCTGCGTCTGTGTGTATGACGTCAACAAATTCAGCATCACTCGGGTCCAGTCTTTTGTGTGGAGAATCAACGTCAAAATGTACTTGCGCAGGATCAAGACCTGATAAAAGTTAACAGCACTTTTAAACTTGACATTCGCCTGTTGATTCACGTTTGATCTCAGTTTATTGACTGGGGCGTGGCCATTGTTACCTGTTATGCGGCCAAGCCTTGTGTGGTTGCGCATGCGTAGAAAAGCCCCTGCAAACCCAGCCACGTGAGCTCCAAGGCCGTGTCCAATTACGTGGACCTTGGTTGAATTGAATCGAAACTGATAGTGAAGCTCTTTTACGAAGTTCGCAAGTTGACGCCCAACGACACGTGTATTTCGCGCCGCGTCAAGGTACTCCATACTTGCGCGGGCTTCCCAGTCCACCACAATGACATTCATCTCCTCCCTCTTCATCAATTCTCTACGCATTTCGCCGATCCATGGTATGAAACGATTTTGCCAGTAGCCATGGACTATAACTGCAAGTCTAAGGTTTGGGTCAAATGTTGTTGTTCTGATGCTGTGTAGAGAATTAGCGCTGATCCTTTCGCCATCGTTTGTTCCTCTTGGAGTAAAAAGGTAGAAGTCAGTCTCACTTTGGCTGAATAAACTGAATCCTTCAACTGAAAACAAAACAGACAAGTCAGCTGGGATATACCTGAACAAAGAATGGGAGCGGGATAGTTTTGGGTGATTTGAAAACGGAAGTCATCTCTTTTTTTAAAACTCATTAATAATTCATGAAGGAAACACAATAGAAATCATGACCATGAAGGTGATTTTATATCTGATAAAGATTCGTCTTCATTCGCATAAACTTTAACTTGGATTTTCTCTATCAAACTTGGTTCATTTCCTAAAGAATTCGGCACAATTCGAAAACATACATAATAATCTTTTAAAGTACTATGCGGCTGCTCCTCGTGTTTTATACCCGATAAAACACTCCTGCTCGTTTATTAAACAGTACATATAGTGCTTTACTCGTCCTCCCACAGAGAGCCCAATTAAGTTTTATAGTGAATGGTGAAAATAAAATCGGGAAAACTAAATAATGTTTTTTAATTCGAGGTCAAGATAATTAATTTTTTTTAATTCGAGGTCAAGATGATGGATTGTTCTCTTCAATCCATTCAAACCGGAACTGATTCCCAGTCTCAACTTTTAATTGAACTTCGATCAAGACTGATGACGACTAGATGATCTCAAGGCAGGAGCTGAGTCTAATGTGGCTAAATCTTTCTTATTCGAGCTCATGTCATTACAGTAACTGATACCGCGTTAGAACATGCGCGGAAGCTAGACAACCCTGGATTGATTCCATTCATCACTGCGCATACGCAGTTTACTGATTATACTCCTCTTGTTACAAAATACATTATTCAGTCCTCTTTGGTTTGGATGAGAAATTTCGTATCTTTAAGGGTTTTGACCTCTTTCATGTCTATCATGCAAAGTACGACTATAAGTTTGTTATTTGTTACGGAAATAAAACAAGACTGGACCAGACACTGGCAACTGTGTCTATTGCTGTGCTAGCAGAGTGCATGCACTCGCTTACTTTATCTACAATGGGATTTTAAATTAAAATAAAGATGTACATCGAATCTTTTTACAGCCTTGCTATCGAAAAGTCTTTGTGAAGAGTTTTCACCGAACATAAGCTTACTCTTAAACAATGATATGGATAATCCAAAATAATACAATGCAGAAGTGTAATAGGCTTTTTGTAGGTAAGACTTACCTGTAGACAAACAAAACAAGGAAATAACGCAGAACAATAAAAGGAACTTGAAATCCATCTCACGTAGTAGGAAAATAACCACTATCAACACGTCTTGGAAATTCTTCAAATTTATAGAAGATTATCACGCCTCATGTGGTTTACAAACCTGGGGCTTAATATCCTGTCAAGCTTCAGTTCCAGGTGGAGATGGCGGTTCTTCATTGGTTGATATATCTCACGTGACACCACGTGTTGATTGAATATTGAATATGGTGGTCCCTCATTGGTTGAAATAACACACGTGATATTTCGTTTTCGAATACGGTAGTTTTTCATTGGTTAATACGCCACACATGACACCATGATTGGATAAGTGACAACACATCCGGTTCTTTCAAAATGTAATGTAACTTTTTTTTCCATGTTTTTATTACATGTTTACCTACTCTATATTAAAATAAGAGATTACATTGTGTATCTTTTGTTTATAAACAAAAGATGAAAGTTATTTCGTGGTTTATTTGACATTTTAGTTTTGAAGATAGAATTTCAAGCTGTTAGTAAGGGCAAAGGTTGTACATGTTCTCTTCAAAACAATCGTTTTTTATAGCTATTACGACTAAGAGTAAGTTATGTTTTGGCTGTTTGTAATCTAGTTGTCGTGACTGTAAAGCCATATTTTTCTTCTGACAATTATGAAAGGAGCTGCTTATTCCATGTTCGTCGTGGAAAGACTTCATGTATTCATTATATACGGGAACTCACCTTCAACTCTGTATTTACCCTCCCCTCCCCCATTTTTCACTAGAACAAAAGTTCGTATCAGCAATTGACAAAGTTGTAATGAACACACTACTTGTTATTGTAAGCTGCATGTTAGGTGTTATTATCCAAGCATCTGAGGAAGTGGGTTCAAACTTACATGTATCAACACGCTAGGAAACTGTAAAAATATAGTCGAGATTATTCTAAAAATAGAATATTTGAGTTCCAAATTACCGCTGTGTTTCTTGATTACCGACTCATTTACACAGGGTTAGCCTCGATTTTGTGTCGAATATTCGCGTGTTCCAGTAAAGGTYCGTGGATTTTCAAAGTGTTTGTGTTGTTGAAGTTGTGCATTCTTTACTTTACCGTTGGTATTTGTGAATATTTTTTGAACAATGATGCAGGGCTAACCCTGTGTAAATGAGTCTGTAATCAAGGAAACTCAAAACTGGACTATTGAATGAGGCAACTATTGTTTTAAAAACTCGAGCCGCTCTTTGAACATGTTATATTTTATTTGCACTTTTTCATGGGGACGTTAACAAAATGTATAAAATGAAATCAAAAGTATGTGACAAAAGATAATCAGGAAAAACCGTTTACTTTACATTTTTTGAAATCATTTTAATTAACCATGCTTTTATTCCGTGCTCATTTATCTACAAGAACTACTGATAGCTACTATCAAGAACTACAATTTTACAATTTTACATTTCTCTTATATATTTCATTCGTAGTGGAAGTAGGAAGGAAGACTGGGAATAGCCTGTAGTAAAAGTCATCCAACATGGCCACCACACGCGCACATACTCCCTACGAATTTGCATCTTTATTTACAAAAACACATACAACAATTTTTTTTGAATTTGAAAAAAGTATATGCAAGACTTTCATCAGCGTATTTGTCACCACGCCGTAATATTCTTTTGTTAGCACGTGACGTCATAGACGCCATCTTGGTTGAATTATGTTATATCAACCAACATGGCCGCCGTGTCTTTCGTTATTTTACTTCCTTGGGAATGATTGAAAACTAGAAATATAAAGTTTTCTCGAAAATACCTCAAGCATGATGATGTTTTATACCTACACTTTCTACACTAGCTTTTCATGACCATATACTACACGCTTGGTCTGCAAATTTAATCTCGTACAAACGCAGTTCAAGGAAATTGGAAAACAAGCCTCAAAGGCATTCATGGTCACCCTGTTGTAGTCGAGCCTCGTACCTCGCGTAGAAAAAGGATGATGAAATCCACTTATTAAAACAAGCAGTATACCTGAAAACAAGAACATTAATCAGCGATACAGGCACGCGCAAGTCACGCGATCACATTCCGCCATATTGGAGGACAACGTACACTCCAGGCACAATGATGTATTAAGGTCAGTCTAGTTGATTTGGACCTTATCATATAATATTTGACTAAAGGAAGTTGTCATTCAACATGGAGGACTTAACTTAGTTATCATATGTACACTATTTGCGTAAAACTATTTTTCTATATTTTTCTATATTTCTATTTTTCATAAAAACTCATAGATGAATCCCCATGGCAAGATTTTAGGAAAAATTGATAATGACTAGCGACGGTTACTAGTTGGGACTGCGTAGTGCGTCGGTGAACATACTTATTTCAATAAAGTTAGTCACCTGAAAAGCTACAAAGCAGAGAGCGACAAGAATTATGGGCACACACATTTTACATGTTTCAACCGCTTTAATAACTGTTGATGGATTTTAGATCTYTTACCAGTTACAGTCTCACCTGTTCTGAGCATCCTAAAGCTGCAAATTGTATCAAAAGCTTTACTTTTTTGATATGAAAAGTTTCCCATGATCCTCAGTGATCTCAGCTTTCTAGGTTTTTTGTTGACTAACTTTATTGAAATAAGTGTATACAACAAGTGAATAAGAAGAAAACTTTTAAAAACAACGTGTAAAACTATACTACGTTGAAGACGTTGGTCCTTTTCGGGAGTAAAAGAAAATTGTTAATGAAATTTTCAAAAACATTTTTGTATTTTAAACAAGATTTGGGTAAATGCAGAATATTACTCACGTGTTGTTCTCGTGGCGTACAGTAGCTTTACCGATGTACACATATCTGCCATGGTACGACAAGACGATGGATTTGAACGAGCCCGGGTGACGTTCACTGAAGACAAGACGACTTATCTGACTCGTATATTCCATTAAACTGAACAAAATACAACATTTGGTAAACATTTGAAGTAAAAATTTCCCTGCAGAAAAAAAGGAGAGAAAAAAGGAGCCTGAATGGAAAATGGGTAGCCTGCGTTACCGGCGGCGGTGTGGGATTGGGAATAGCGGGAAACTGATTCTCCCCAATCCCCCACCGCCGGCTATGCAGGTCAGAGGAGCAGATTCAAGAAATGCCAACCGTGAGAGATTAAAATCCATGAGTGATATTTAATGAGATTAAACCAACCTTGACTTGGTCTGGATCATCCCGTCATCTTGTCCAATCAGCTTGATAATGATCTTCTTGCTAACCATGGAGTTAAGCAGACCGAAACCGCTTTTCAACCCGCTCAGGACTATTGACACGTAGTGCTTTGGAGCTGAAGTTGAAATATCACTCATTTAGAAGATAATTTGGCTTTATTGCGGACAAGATAGAGTTCAAATGCATGGGGAAGAAAGGCGTAAAATTTGAGTCTTAAGAATACGATTATTTAAGACTAGAGTCGTAAAGCTGTTTAAAATGCCTTTGGAATTTCCTTTTAAAACTCACCACAATGGCCTTCATCATCGTAAGTTGCTAAATAAAACTTGTGTGAGCCATTAACATGGTACTGGTCAGCGTTGTATCCCATCTCCGGGCATGCGCCTTCACATTCAATGCATCTACCTTGCTTGAACGCCTCCCAGCTTTCACAAGGGAACGCTTTTCTTGAGCATTGGTGATTGATAGACGAGGTAAAATAGTCAATGACCTTCTTGTGGTCACAAGCGAACACCCAGGGCAGTGAAACTTTTTGATCTTGAAGGTTCTGAATTTCATTGAGAACCTCTGGTGATTTGAAATAAGTTATGTACATTAATAATCTATACGAAAAAAATGGGATTCCTATGTGTTATCAAACGCGAAGGAATGGAAAGAAAACTGGTTTTACCTGCTAAATTCCTGATATAAATACACCCAGGTTGAGACGCGCCACCATTTGGATAAAAGTCCACGTGACCGGATATACGTTCAAGTCCCAGGCTTCTCTCCAAAAACTTGGGGTGTGCGTCTGTGTGTATGACGTCAACGAATTCAGCGTCACTCGGGTCCAGTCTCACAGCGGGGGATTCGTTATCAAAGCCTGGTCTTGCAGGATCAAGACCTAAAGAACACGGTATGTTAACTATGTTAACCTGATTGAAGATCCGAAAGCCTTGGAATAATGAGCTTCTTAAATAAAAATTTATGAGAAGGAATGAATGAATGAATGGAGGAGAATATTGGTGAAAATATTTAGGTATTTTTTCCGAATATCTAAGTCGGGAATCTAGGGGAGGGAGGGGGCATGGTATCGAGTATCAACACCGCTTTCATCGACGACACTAGAGAATAACGTTTGGGCAGGCGTGCCTTTCAGCAAGTTTCCTAAGAATAGACCCTTTTCGAGATCCAAATTACCGCTGTGTTTATTGATTACAGACTCATTTACTCAGGCTTAGCCTCGATTTTGTGTAGAATATTCACGTGTTCCAGTCAAGGTCCGTCAAGTTTCAAAGTGTTCGTATTGTTGAAGTTGTGCATTCTTAACTTTACCGTTGGTATTTGTGAATATTTAAACACTGATGCGAGGCTACGCCTGCTAGGAATAAATGAGCCTGTAATCAAGAAACACAACGGTAATTTGGAACTCGAAAAGGATCTATTTAGAAGAGGTTACATTTAAGCGAGAAAAAAGATGTTTGTTTTCCCCGAGTGTACAAAAAATTTCGCAAGTGTACTCTTGTGAGACCAAGATACTGTATTATTTACGTTTGAAAGTCAAATCTACATATTTATGGATGACCATGAAGACGTTTCGACTAATTTGCGTACGCAATTAGAGCATGCGCAGAGGTTTTTCAATCGTGTCTCTCACCTGTTATCCTCCTGAGTCTCATACTGCGCATGCCCAGTAAAGTGCCAGCAAACCCAGCAACATGAGCGCCAAGACTGTGTCCAACCACATGAACATTGTTGGATTTATAACTAAACCGATTATAAAGCTCCATGATCAATTCTGCCAGCTGGGCTCCAACCAGTCGAGCATTGCCTGCAGCTATATCATACGAGGTCAAGAAACTGGCGCCAATCTCCCAGTTCACAACAATAATATTCATATTCTCTTTCTTCATCAGTTCTTTACGGATTTTCGTGATCCAAGGTTTAAAACCGTCCTGTGTAAACCCATGGACTATGACTGTAAGTCTTAGTTTTGGGTCAAACGAAGTGTTTCTGACGGCTTCTACGTGTTCTGCTGTGAATCTCTCGCCGAAGGGGAGGTCATTGAGTGGGGTGTAGAGGTAGAAATCCGTCTTGATTTCTTCAGGAGTCTGAGGCAAGGACATGTAGATGTCGTCGAATGGTGGATCATCGGAGAAACACCCATAACGCTTATAACAGACCTTGTCGGCTGGGAAAAGACGTGAGAAACTTATGAACGGTTTATAATTTTATTTTGTAATTAGGTAAAGGCCGTAAGAAAACTGTGCATGATCATTGCGTCCCACTGGCGTATGGAGGAGGGGACACCTGCCCCCACCCCCCCACCCCCCCCCATTAAAAAAGTTTTCTTAACACTAAAATTTAAAGTGCACATGAACCCTTCGACAATACTTTCAGTACTGATTCTGCATAACGTAAATAGTTGATTGGTAAAATATTTCTTGATTTGAGTGACGCGTCTCTAAGTTATGAAGGTTTATACTTCCAATATGTTAATGATGATGACGTCAGGTAAGGTATTTGAGTGTTTTTGTTGTAACTAGTAATACTTAATGCTGGTCATTTTGAAAATAAAAATTGTAAATAGCTTTCATGTAAACCATGAGTAAATTAATGATGCTTCTTAAATACTGTATCTATGAACCAGTTCGATTTTGTATATTTGATTAAGCCTTAATAGACGTCACACTCATTAGCATATTGGAAGTATAAACCTTCATAACTTAGAAACGCATCACTCAAATCAAGAAATATTTTACCATTCAACTATTTACTTCGTGTAGAATCAGTACTGAAAGTATTGTCGAAGGGTTCATGTGCACTTTAATTCAATCATGCTGGATTCCTGTGGAATGTACATTGAAGGGACATTGCCCCCATCCCTTCCCCCTATAATCAAGACATCGTCCCCTCTTGAAATGAAATTATTAGTGGTATAACATGCTAACTAGAAGTCGCAAAAGCTTGCATTTTCCCCGATTTCTTTCCGCAGTCTGAATATTTAATTTGTATAGAGGAAAAATTTGGAACATTCACTTGCGGTCTCCCAGTAAGTGGCCCGACGGTGGCTTATGCGAGGAACTTCTAATAACCTACTTTTTAATATTTATAACAAATGTTTAATATGATCTAGCAAATGTCAAGCGACACTATCAAGCAATATATCGACGCAGTATTTACCGTAGCTGCTTTTCATCAACCCAAGCGACCCCATTTAGGATTGCTGCCTGATATTTGTCATGTTTCAGATTTCTCTTTCATTGAGAGCCTTATCAGCTGCATTGATCTTAACGATTCTCTTCGCAGCACGTAAAATATCAGTATTGTTTAACGCGAGGTATAGCCAGCCAGCATGGCAAATATCCAAACTTGGATCGCCTTTCCGTGCTTAAACTAACCATTCTTTTCTGTCTATTCTGTCGTTTGTTTGTAAAGAGTAAATGATGAAAAGCTACAATAAAAACAACTTCGCCCTTCTTCTTCAGATTGGTCTTATGGACTATTCTTATTACTGTTTTTGGATTCTTTAACTGTTGATAGAAAATCATCCCTGTAACACGAATGTCTTTTCTTTCTATTCTGTCGTTTGTTTGTGAAGAGTAAATGATGAAAACTGAGCTACAATAAAACAACTTCGCCCTTCGCCTTCAGATCGGTTTTAAAGACTATTCTTACTAATGTTTTTTTGATTCTTTGACTGTTGATAGAAAATTATCCCTGTAACACAAATGTTTATTATCGAGCAGAAACTAAACTTCTGCTCTTAGAAATTCTGTCTTTTGTTCGATTCCAAATTAAAAGGCATAAAGTTTAGCAATAAAATACAAAACAAGCGCATATTAATGTGAATTTGAGTTGGTTTTCTCAAGCTTACCTTGGGTAATACAAAACCAGATAAAGAACCATGTCAAGGGCCGAAGATTTTTGAAATCCATTTTGGTGAGTTCGTTCACTGTTGGAGTCCAACAATTAACAGAACGGTCTTAAAGAAGATTTTTAGAGAAATCTCACGCCCCCTGTGATCCTGAGATAATCTGTTTAAACACTTTCTCACGTTACGCTGGGATCCGAAAAATACTGATTGGTTGGTAGTACAAAACACGAAACATCACAGCTATTGAACAGGGCTCGTGATTGGTTGGCGCAAAACACGTGACCTTTATGATTCTCAAGATGATTTTTGATTGGTTTATAAGCGAATAAAGCTGGTTAATTCTTGTAGAGTTCTGCCTTCCTAATGAAGTGTGACCTCGAGAGTACCGAAAACGGGCACCAACATCTGGATGGAGAAGAGTTACAGAGTTACTTTATGCTGATGATGTGGCAATCTTCACAAAAAGTGTAGAGGAAATATTAAACTTGGTCCTATCTATCTATGACAGTACTTTTACTCGATTTGGCTACAGATGTCCTATAGCAAGACCAAGACAATTGCGTTTAACGTTAATGAGGCCATCAAAGATCAGAAGACCCTAGTATCAGTAAATGGGGTGGATATCAAGAATGTCCGGACATTCCGGTATCTGGGACATGTAATTAGCAACATAAGCAACTCAGCAGCAGCGTTGCATGCCAATATCGCATCTGCATGTAAGAAGTTGGATGAACTGAAGAACTGTTTGATGGACAGAGAAATTCACTTGTCAACGCGCATGAAGGTCCTCACTTCCTGTGTTAGATCACGTTTATTGTATGGCATTCAGGCATGTCACCTGTCCGCCTCAGAACTACAAAAGGTTGAGTGTGTGGAATAATTTTCTAAGGAAGATGGTATCGGGAGGCTATGCAAGGAAAAATGTTCCTCCTCGTAACAAGCAAAAAAAGGGTGTCGACCCAGCTACCTTGGTGGAAGGACAGCTGGATTGAAGATATAAAATATCAAATGTGCGACTACGAGAAATAACAAAATCTAGTTCCATCCAGGATTATTGCCATGTCCAACATCTTAAAAGCATGGCCCATGTTTGTCGCATGGAGAATAACGCCCTCCAGAAACAGGTCCTTTTTGATAAAAGGGACACCTCAAGAGTTTGGAAGCGAGTTGAGGATCTCCTCCAGATAGATCCAATGCAAGCCAGAAAAATGTTGATAGACAAAACCAAGTTCAAACATCTGCTCAGAGGACGTTTCCCGGAGCAGTTGTGCCCTAAGGCCAGGGATGGGCCGAGAGGGAAAACCAGATGATGATGATGAATAGAGCAATTGCACTTAACCGGAGATGGTTTTTGATTGAATAATTTGTCACAAGTGACATTTCATGGGGTAGAACTCTGATTGGTCAAAAGAAAGAGGAAGAAAAAAAAGAAAAGAAAAAAGAAAAGAAAAAAGAAAAGAAAAAAGACAAGAAAAAAGAAAGGAAAGGAAAAATAGCCGAAGTAACACTACCGACTTGCATACAATTTAATTTTACATTTGTATTTTTTTGTTTTTCCTTCACAGCATTGTATATTTCTTTTTTTTAAGTGTAGGTCTGTACGTGGATATTAATTACTGACAAAACATGCGTTGAATTTGCAGTGCTTGCTCGCTATTGAAAAAAAAAACATCTTTTCGCGCGTCCAGTGACAAATTGCAATCTTACGTGGACGTAAAATTAGCAAATGCAGGATGAATTTAAAAGAAATAACAAATTTTACTTTGAAGTATTTTACTGGCATGTTTCGACAGTAACAACTGTCATCTTCAGAGTGATTATACGAAAAAAACTGCAGTCTTACGTAGCATTAGAACCACTTGCGCTTGTGTTCTTCTGGTTGTATATATAGTGGCCACCAAGGCCAGTCTTCTGTCATTGCTATCCAGTATCGTGTGAATGAAAGAATTCAGCTTGGAAGTGCTCTTTGCTGCTAATAAAGAGTAGCATTCTTTATAGCGTGTGGTTGTTTACAATACACTTGTCTGTTCGTCTCTCTGTCTGTCTGTCCTGCGCTCACGTGACTACCCACTTAATTAATCTTGCTAATTTGTCAGTCTGTTGGCCAGATCAGAGCCTTGTTCAAGTACAACACTTGTAATAAATGGTTCTGCCTCAGATAACCCACGATAAAGATAAAGTACCTTACTAATGTTAAAAGAATGCAGAAAATTTCAATAAAAATTTAGTATCAAAATTGGAAAGCAATAGAAGTATAGCAGCGGGGAGGAGCTTAATGGCACGTCCTTGGAGTGAGCCATAGAATCAAAGAATAACTGGAGTGGGATCCCTGTGTCCTGCGCACGCCCACAACTCTTACATTCAGGTGTGAGACGTGCGAGTTTAGCTATAGATTTGGCGGGATTTGTGCCTTGCTGCATCTTCCTCCACCTCTTGAAACTCGGGCTCTCTCGCTAAATCTCTGAGCGTACATGGCTGGAAACCTTGAAATAAAAATGTACTGGTTTGGCCAGTGGTAACTGCATCGGCATATTCAGACTATATATGAGCCACGCCATAAATGAGTCATGAAATGGGGCAACAACATTATCTTATGACTGGAGTCAAAATTTATGCGTAGTTTTAAAGACATTCAAAGAGCAAAGCTCTATTATTGCTTCCGGTTCACCATTGTACGCCGAAGCCGAGTAGAAGCGCGCTTGCCATGAAATCGTAACAACAAAGATGGCGCCTCTCTAAAAGAAGACTCTTAGGGCAGAGTTCCAACATTTAATGATGCCAATCTTGAAACAAGCCAAATATCGCATCGATTCCAAGAACGTTCGAACCTTCACTACCGGACACGAGTAACGAACTGAGAGGAATAAGCCGAGCTTTAGCCTTTTTACGGGCCTATCAATATGCTAAATCTTGTCGGATTGGCTCCCAATTGCGTACAGAGACAAAGAACAGTAGCAAGGACACACACGCAAAAATTGGTAAGCTTACCACAAAAAATACTATATTCTTAAGATATATAATTCCACATGCATTCCTTTAAAATACGGTACAAGTACATTGCTCGGGCTTCCTGTGATCACTTCAAAACCGTACATAGCGTTTGAAAACGAAGTTATGTGTGCGAGTCCCTAGAGCTCCATCGTAGTGAAAATCAGAGCCCCATGGATACCATGACAACAATAAGTACAGTGCACTGGTGATGCTTTCAAGAAAGGTAAGACCACCTAGGTGCAAAGGTGAGAGGGTTGACAGAAAAGGGAGGGTTAAAATGTGCAAGGTAGTTGAAGATGTTCATTGACTCTGTGAATACATTGCGCATGCCTCTGCAAGAGCGCTTCCAGACAAAGGCAACCCAAACTGTGTCTTGATCCCCCCTTAGCAAAGAACATTTCACTAAATATCTTAGATTTTATTCATTTGTTTGAGATTCCTGTAGATATGGCGGAAAAATGGTACCCATTTTATTTTTGGATATATTGTCTAGTATTAATTGTTGTCATATAAATATTGCGTTTTTGCCTCTTTTTTCTTCTTCCTTCTTCATTCAGTCATATCAAGGCTCCATGAAATTAGCACCAGATAGACTAGACTTTTCAAAATAAAATGTTTTCAAACAATTCCGTGCGTGGCAGAGTGCAAGGGATTAGCTTTAGATGTGGTTAGGGGCCGGCTAGTCTCTCTCCTGATGCCTTCAGGCGATAACATTATCCTGCTTACATCGCCTACATTTTAAAATGGCAGATCGATTTGTCTGGATACGAAAAGCAGATTTTTTTCTGGTTTGAAATGCTGCCTGAAAATAATTTACTGACAAGAGCTTTTACTCCACTCAGTTTCTCATAATTTTCTATCTTTTTTGCGATGCTTTCTTTTCTGACCGTTTACCTAAAAACTTTGCCCAGTCCCTGTATGACAAATAATTTCCCAAACCCCCACTCGTTTCTGCCGGCAAGGGCCAGTGGAACAGAACCTATGATATGAACGGGCCGGCCTCGAAAAAATTCATGACTAGCATTACTAATAAAACATACCGTATTTGATAAGATCATCCAGACCTTTAATCTAATTACAAGGTGTTCAATTTTTCCCAATGATTTTTTCTCTCCATTGAAACTTTTGTGAGCTTTACCCCAGCATCAGTTTCTGTCTTTTGTCAGGGTTGGATTTTCTTTGACGGACCTTTCCAAGGAAATAAAGCTGTAACAACTACGATAGATTTCTGGTTTCAATTAAACGAACAGTATCGTTTCTTATGGAGTTTAACCTGTAACCCATGACAAAATGTTTTACTATCGTTCGTCTCATAGTACGACATTGATCGTCGTTCAACACTCTTCAAAAGTCATGGTCGGAGAATCCAGTGGAGTTTGAATCATTCCTGATATATTCCATAAACAGTAGCCACAGCAAACAAGGTTTTGTTCTTCAAGCTTTCGGACACAAAGCTGTCGAGTTCATGGTCCCAAATGCATCGACTGGCGACTCGCAGTGTTTGACCTCTCAGTTGTCCTATGGTCACGGTACAAACGAACTTATATCGCGCTATCCCAAGCATTTTAAGTTCTCGTAAAATCCCATTAGACAAAGATTTAGATAAGTCTCGACAGCATTTCGGATCGTAGGTTTCATTTTCTAGAACTTGGAGATTTCGCTTGATGATTTGTCGTACTTTGGTCTCATTCACTGTTTTGTCTGGGTACATTTTGTAAGTGTTTTGAAAGACATTGAAACGCCTGTTCATAACTGTTTTAGTTATTCGCGAAGACCTTGTTGTTGACGAGCTTTCCAAATCATTCGCTGCAGGCGAATCATAATGACTTGTCATGAAGTTACCTTTCTGGACGCCTGTCTTGTAACTTGTACTCGTTGGTAAACTGAACAGACTGGAACTCGAACTGCTTCGTTTTTGTAAAGCCATGACGAGCAATTAATAGGGACAAGTAATATTTAGGATCTAAAGCTTTCTTGGTCAAGAGGAGGTCAGTAAGAGTGGTAGTTTGATGTGTTTTGATGCGTGTGATTTACAAAGATTAAAAGGGGAAGGGTGAAAATACACACTTGAAGTCAGTCAAATATTAAACTAGATGTTGGATTTTTCAATAACAATTCTTCACGAAACAGAGAAATATTATTTGAAAATATGGAGCGCAAAATTAATAACTGAACTGATATGATATGTGGAAATGCTGATAAATCGTTAAACAAAATAACCTTATTAACCGAAATAACCCCATTTAACAAATATGTAAACACGTTTTTTTCTCTGTTCATTCGTCTCTTCTCTCTCTCTTTTTTCTTTCTTCATTTTTCTTTCAGTTTTTCTTTTATGCTTCTCTTTTGTGCATCGGCAACTTTGCCAGTCTTACGCTTAATGAAATTGAAATTGGCTCGGTTCGAGGGTTTCATACAAATGATGGAATTTCCAAGCATTCTAAAAGCCGGTGAAAAAATCTCCTAAAAATCTTTTTGTACTACATTGTCCAATGTCAGGCAAAAATGAAGTAAGCTCAACAACTTTCCCTACCCTGCAAGGAAAAAGTCCTAAGCATTGGTCTTTCGGTCATTCATTTGAGCATCAACTACCTCAAGCATCCATAATGCCTCAGTCGAGAGGTTTTTACTCAAGTCAGAAAACTTGAGAATACGAATAGTGGGGTATGGTTGGTCACTCTGTGGTGTCGATGACGATCCGGTAGACTTGAGTTGACCAGCTACCATAACATACATACCTAAAAACAGATCGTATTATAATGAAATAAAAATAAAGATTCTATCCAGTATCCCTTTGCAGGACACCACTGGGAAAGTTTTATCCAGTTTTCGTTTCTCCCCCATAATTCCTTCTCCGTCTTCTGTCCTTTTATTTTCCTATTTTTCCTTCTCTTATTCTCTTTCTTTGCATTTTCTCTTTTCTCTTTTTTCACATTTTTTGTTCTCATAGTTTTCTTTCTTTGTCATTGAATGATACACAATTATCGTTCAAATTCAAACACGATTATTTTTGCAAGAAAAATTATTTGAGTGTTGCTTAGCAAATACGATAGTAAAAAGCAAATACAAGCGGGCAGAGTTGTAAGATAGGTACTCGATACAAGGGCGGATCCGGGGGGAGGGTCGGGGGGTCGCGATCCCCCATGTCATTCCTGAGGTCAAATGGGCCTTCTGTGGTGCGACTGGGATTTCTTTGCCCACAAAATTTACCCCTGAGACCCCCCCTTAAAAAAAAACCTGGATCCGCCCTTGCGATGTCCCCAAAAGTTGCCTGAAGGAAAGGGAAGGGAGAGGTTAATGGTTTGTGTGTCATAGATATATCATAGATTTAAACCCTTACCTTTGCTGATGAGAATATTCTTGACTAGTTTGATCAGTCCAGTAACGTAAACAATCCCAGTCCCATCATCGATAAGCATATCGTTCCCATCAGTAGATACCAGAACCACGATACCTTGAACCCAAATCTGACTAAAGCTTATTGAAGACCTACGATTACTCTTGTACGTCCACTCGTCTGTGTTATTGGAGGATGAATCTTTGTTGGTCTGTACACAACTGGGTATCTGAGCTGCGAAGAATTTTTTCGCGGGTGAATTCAGCCCCGAATTCAACCTTGAGTGACTTGAAGAGATTGAAGATGGCCTCTGCGACATCACTTAGACTCACTCTCATAAAGTAAGAGCGTTTAATTCCCTTTTGGTACGTGAATTTTAGCTCTATAATAAAGTTTTCAGTCATCTATGGCCGATAGTATAAAGTATATGTATAATCGTAAAATACTTTCCCGCCGTCCGCCATTTTGAATTTGAATCGACCGCGAGAGATCTGGGATCTATCCAGTGACGTCACATCAAAATGGCGGCTCTTAGTGAAGGATGAAGTCTTTGATAGAATGATGGTTAAAATACTCGATTTTAAAGCCATGGAAAAGACTCTGTCTTCATATTTATAGCTCATCGGTATGGCTAAGTCCACGGTGGTGTACTTCTACGACGAAGACGTAGGAAATTTTCACTATGGTATGAAAAAAGCGCCAAATATGAGTCGTACTTTGAATGAGTCTTTGACTAGTAACAGCTGTCATTATATTGTAAAAACCCTACTCTTACTTCAAGAAAATGATCAATCATTTTGCCTGATATTCTAATATTAATATATATATACATTTCCTAGGATATCTGATATCCTGTTTTACTACTGTATGTTGTTGTTGTTATGTGTGACAATCGTAACTTTAAATCTTTTTCTACGCATTCTACGTTCTTCGACCTTCTTTGTCTTGCTGCAAATGAATCCAGACACGGATAATTTTTGAATCTTAACTCAGTGGTCCTCATATTTGATTACGCTACCTTGATACTATATTCAATAAAAATATTTTTTTAAGATAATTAAAGATAAGTTTGTCATCTTAACTGCTTGTCTACCATGTGTGGTTCAAAAAATAGACAATTTGAATACATGAAATACAGAGAAAAACCTGCATGAAAGAACACCAGATTTTCTGTGACAGACAAACAGTCCCACAATGCACCTGAAGTAGTTTTTACAGAGGTTCCTAAAATTAATACCAACATGGTGTACTGTATCTAATTAATATTTGCTTTAGTTAGCTAATTATTGACCTTGACATGTCTAATAATAATCGAACAATAGGAAACACTCTAATTTTCACGCAGTGTTTTATTTAGTAACTTCTGATATTATAAGAACCTGCTTCATTTTGTCAGGCTAAAAGGTTCTCATATATTAGGTGCTTTATTGGTCAAATTTCAGCTTGGAGGTTCTTAATGCACATTGCAGTTTTTTTTAAACTGGTGCTTACTGTAGGAAATAGGGTTTTTTTACTCTGATGAAGAATGAATATTCAAAATGTCAACTGGTATGATTATGAAAAAATTAAATCCTTAAGTTTTCTTATTCACTTGTCAAATAGTAAATATGTTTGCTTGTCTTAATTCACCTTTTCGGTGCTAGCTGTCACAGGGTATAAATTGTTTTAGATCATGTTACAATCACCAAAGAGTTCAGACATTGTTCTTGAATTTCTGTACAAATGTACTGACTCTAAATGAACTATTTACATTACTTGGTTAATGTTTAGTTAGTTTTCTAAATACAAGTAAATAATCATTTTTCTAGCTTGATTGAAGCTTTTCTTTCTGCTGTTAAGACAGCTAACTAAAGAAGTCCAGGCCCGTAGCTAGGATTTTTGTTGGGGGGGTGCTAATTTACAAAAAGTGGACCAACCATATACTTTATTTTTTAAAAGTCCCATAGGACGCATAGGTATAGATAAATTATTAAAGTAAAATTGATTTTTTTTACTTAGTTTTACGTGAAAATATCATATCAGCCAAAATCTCACTTGCTTAAAAAGCGGACCTTTAGCTCACGTGGGGGGGTGCGAACGCACCCCCTGCACCCCCCCTAGCTACGGGCCTGAAGTCTACCTAAATTTTCTCTTTAAAGTCAGTGAATTTGTATGGAAATCCCAGAACGATGTCCAAACTTTTTGGTAACCGTAATACAATCCAAGCTAGCTCTGAAAAGGTGAATTCAATAATATTCTAAAAACATTTGTTAATTGTTTGTATGGTGTTTGCAGGACCAGGACATCCCATGAAACCTCACAGACTAACACTGACACACAACCTTGTCTTTAATTATGGGCTGCATAAGTATATGGAGGTATGTCATTCAACCAGAAGCTCATAAGGAGGTTGAAATGTATAAAGACCATATATTCCTTTTAAACTACTGTGCTTCAAAATATTCAACTTTTTTCTTGACAAATTAATTTCCAGTAAATTATGTGTTTTTGCTAAAAAATACCCAAATCTAAAGACATTCGAAATATTTGATTGACAGAATCAATAATTCAAAAAGTTAGAAAAACCAGCGAGAAGTTTGATATGTGAGGGAAGCGGCCATCTTGAAACAAAACTTGAAATTCTAAATATGTTATCAAAACTCCTAATTCCCTTATAAGTTTCTGATTTAACCAAAATTATGATTATGCCAAAATTTGAACATATATATTTTTTGCCGTAAATCATTGATATGAATCCACAAAACCAGGATTTATTTAATAGTAGTCAATAGTTTGCTTCTACTAAATCCAGTCATCCATGAGGTATTTTGATCTTTAGGTGTATAAGCCATACAGAGCCACAGGCCATGATATGTGCCGATTCCATGCTCAAGATTATATACAGTTTTTATCCAGGTAGGGTAGTGACAATACTATACCATGATAATGATAAATGCTGTACTGTGAACAGTCATTGTATCATTTCCTGCAAATGGCCTATAGAGGCTTTGCACCATCACATGATGGCAGCCATGACAGCAGGCACAACAATAGAGTCATTTTCCCTTGGGAAACTGAATTCTTTCTTGTGTAAATCAGATTAGACCAGATTCAATCCACCTTTTCTTCGCTAGCCATCACATGGTATAAATTGTGTTGGATTGTGTTACGGTCACCAAGAAGTTCGGACATTGTTCTCGGATTTCCGTACAAATGAACTGACTTTAAATGAACTATTTACTTGGTTTGTTTAGTTAGTTCTTTAAATATACAAGTAAAATATCATTTTTCTATTTTGATTGAAGCTTTTCTTACTGTTAAGAGAGCTAACTAAAGAAATCTATCTAAATTTTCTCTTTAAACTCAGTGAATTTGTATGGGAATCCGAGAACGATGTCCGAACTTTTTGTTGACAGTAACACAATCTAATAAAGTGTTTACGACATGACGGCTATTGCCGAAAAGGTGAATTGTTCCTGCCTCCTGTCATGGCTGCCATCACTTGATGATGAAAAGTCTCTATTTATGATTTGAGCTGACATTAATGCAACTAAACTTTTTTTTTAATTTTCTCATTTAGGGTGACTGTAGATGACATTCCTAGGTTAACAAAAAACCCTAGTAGTTTTAATGTGGGTGAGGACTGGTAAGTATTGATCAACATTCCTTGTACCTTTATTAGCTTTATTTACAAATGGTTGAACCTCTTCACAAAATAGTCTCTGGAAGAGCCAGGTATAATGTACTGTAGTTTTATTCTATTAAAGTGTAATTTTTTAATGACATGATGTGTCATGATAAACTTGTACATTGTAGCCCTCTATGTTTAATGTCTCTAAGTGAGACAGGACCACCATTTTATGAGACAAAGGCCTAACCATTTGTAGATATTTTAGAGCAAAGGCAGCTCCTTCTACTCAGATATTTTAAGACACTGAGTGTGAGTCCAGCCTTGCAAGCTTGGCCCACCACCTCCCACACAACAGACCACTACCCAATCAACTGAGTCAAACGGGAGATGGTCAAACCTCATCCAACCGACCTTTTTTACCTCATCGTTGTGTTCTTTTTTTTCAGCCCAGTTTTTTCAGGTCTATTTGATTTCTGTTCTATTTATACTGGTGCTTCATTAGAAGGGGCTGTGCGGCTTAATCAAAGGGTGTGTGATATTGCTATTAACTGGGCTGGAGGACTACACCATGCCAAGAAATGTGAGGTAAAAATGCATACTGAGTGGAACCCTTACTAGAATCCTTTCTAGCCTCCTTTCTAGCCTCCTTCGCAGGCTACTTGCTAGGGTTTTTAGCTGAGTGTTGTTGTTGTTTGAGAGGGTTGGGTATCCTGTGGTGAAAACGAGGAAGACTAAGGTGAGCTGGGAAGGGAAAGAAAAGAGTGAGTAATGTCTCCTCTCTCTTCCTCTGCTTTCCCTAAGTACTAGTCCTGCTGTTTACTTTCTTTCACTGTGTGATAAAGGAGGGAGGAAAGGGATTGGGGAGAGGATGAACTACATGTAGCTTTCTCTCAGTCTCCCTTGATCACACACACAGGTAGCCCACTTAAGTATCAGACAAAAAAAGGCTCCAAAAAATGAGAGGTTCCTGCAGAAGAGAACACAGAGGGGGATGCAGAGGAGGCTAACATATAACTAAACTTCTGTCATTATTAGTGTTGTTGCATTTGACTGAGATATTGATATTTTTTGATAGGCATCAGGATTCTGTTATGTCAATGACATTGTAGTAGGAATACTAGAGCTATTGAAGTAAGTATCAAGCAAGAGCCATAGAATATAATTAAAGCCTTTCAGCTGTCTCAAATTAAATGTATCTTCCAGTTGTATGTACAACCTGTTACCAATCATACGATCCAGCCTGCCTCCTACCCCCCTAGGGAATGCAGTGGTACCCACACAGTCATTTTATATTATGGTTGAACCTCTGTTCATGTAGGTCTGTTGAGTACCAGCAGTTCTTATTTCTACAGGGGCATAGTCAGGTTTTTGCCTTGGAGGTGCAAAAAAATCCATCTTAAGAACATCAGTTAGTTACATGAACTTATCACATGACTACATAAGATATTTAGGTTTGTACGGCGTGAAGATAGTGGGTCAAGCCCCCTCGGTCCCCCTGGTTATGCCCCTGTTCTAGCAGGACAGGACTTTACCTTTGCCTTGTAAGAACTAATGTGATAATCCTGTTGTTTTCCAGGCACCACAATAGAGTTTTATATGTAGATATTGATATTCATCATGGAGATGGAGTACAGGTAGGACGTCAGGGATCGAGAAGGACAGGGAGGCTATCAAACCTAAAAAAACCTTCGTGAACATTTCATCAAACCCTGAAACAATCTCTGGGCTGCTCAAAGTCAGGGCTCTCTGGTCTATGTCGGGGTGTAGCTAACTCGCAGATCTAGCCCAGAGGTTGTTTATCAAAGTCTGGGGACAGCTATTTCACAGATCAAAATGGAATTTAGCTGGTTGGATTTTGCAGAGAGAGGAAAACTGGAGAACCAAGAGAAAAATCTTCAAATCAAAGGAAAGACTCGTCAAACTTTACTCAAATACATGTATGATAGCAAGTCCAGGAATCAAACCTGAGACCCCAAAAGTGAGAGGTGAGTGTGCTACACCACCCTTAGTTCACTGATTTTGGGGATTAATGTTCAGTCAGGGTAAAGATATTAATTTTAAAACTTTCTCCTGTAATCAGTTTAATATATGAAATCCTGTATTTTTGGTTTCTAGGAAGCTTTTTATTTAACAGACCGTGTTATGACTGTGTCTTTCCATAAATATGGTAACCACTTCTTCCCAGGAACAGGTACATTATCATATCATCTTTTACAAGTGTTAAAGGAACCACTGAGGGCATAAAGAAACCCTGGCAGTGACCACCCTTAGTGTCTGGCGTATCCTCTACTAATGATTACTGAATGGTTTATTAATGGTGGGTAGGGGGGTTTATGAAGGGGTTTGTGATCGGTAGAGTGTACCTCAAACTGTATCCTGTGTCCTATTGTGTAGCAAGTAGTATAGGGAATGGGGGTTCCAGCGCAATCTCAACACGGGGTAAGACCCGCGTCAAAAATCCACCTACGGACGACCCCCACTCCAAGTGTGGTTGAGGGCAACAGCGCACTTAAATATGTTAGTCTATATATGGAGTG